TATCCTATGATTAAAGTTTTTGAACGTATATCCAGTGTCTTTGCAATTACAACAACTCATGATGAACATCTCAAGGTAGAGAAACTTATTGCCAATAATAAGACATATCAATAAAATTATGTTAGATATTAAGTCAATACATATAGAGTAACGATCTCATAATTCTGACATAATATCTTAGAAATTAAAAGATGTAGTTAAAAAAAATTTTATATGTTAATTATATGCTAATGATTTAATTATGCTTATCTTTCTTCAAGTTTTTAAAGTATTACTTATAGCATCATTACCATCATTCTTATTCAGTAAGAGAGATTACACTGTCTGTTATAGAAAAAGTAACTTATTTATATTTGTCGGTAATGCGTATAATAAATTCCATAGTAATTGGTAATTTTTATCGTTTTCGGAATCTATGTGATAGAAATTCCAAACAAGCAAACATATATAAAGAGTATAATTTTTTTTTTTTAATCTCAATATAATTTAAAGATCCTTTTCTTTAATAACCTTCTTACAATCTTGGATGACTTTTCTTTTAAACCGGATCATGTATTGTATAATATTGTACGCTTCTGTTTTACGTTTTCTTCTTATAATTTTCTGTAACTTAAAAATGCATTTAAGTCATTACTGTAGCAAAGTATCATGGCGGAATTTTGAATTTGCATAAAATTATAATTAAATTATTAAAATTTGATATTTATACTTACAGCACATTTCTTTACTTCAAAAAAGATTTTCTTTGTAATATTTATTGCAAACGTTTTTTTTTCAGTTGAGAAATATATAAATCCAAGATTATAAAATTAATTATAATGTATTATATCAATATTTACTTTATATCAGTATCAAAATCATATCGCTTGTGTTATATTTTTCTATGTAAAGAAATTTTTACTAATTTCATTTGTGTTTTATTGTATATCTATACATTATTATAGCGTAATAGAAACGGAAATTTTAACGATTCGTTACTTTTTGTATAACGATAACAAGTTATTAATAAGTAACAAATTACTTTTTAATATCGGTAATGAGTAACAGTAACGAGTTGAATTACATAGTAATAAACATATACAAATTTGTTTTGTTACATAATATTTGTGACAAATATTAAAAATTTAAAAATATTTTACCAAAACTGTAAGTTATAGTTATGAGACATTGTAAAATATGATTTTTCTTGATAACTCTTTCTCTCGCTTTAAATCCCGTTTATTTTATAACATCTTTGTACAAAATTCAACTTTTCCGTAATTTTTATATGGAATGATCTATTATTGAAAATATAATGACGTAAGATGTTAACATATTAAGAGTATATGTATTTAAACGATATAAAACAAACAGATTTAGTCAAAAAATTTAGTAATTTGGGGCCTGTTTTGATCACTTACTAATTAAAATACGCTCCGAAAATAAAATTATTTCAGTAAATAAGAATGTTATTATTTTTTCATTTATACATATATTATATTTGTCTTTGTGTAAGTAATATGAACAATACATGTAATAAATAGAAAAATATATTTTTTACCAAATTATAGGAAATAAAAATAAAAATAGGAAGCTTATTTGAAAAGGCAGAGAACGATATGTACAATCAAACAGAAGCTAACATAACCAACAATGTTCTTAATAAATATTTAAAGCAAGAACTCACAAAATGGGGATGTCTTATCAATAATCCCTTGTGTATGCAGATGGCCAAAGAACAATTTGAATGGCATCTATCAGATCCTGAAACTAGGAAGTATGATCTATTTAATCATTGTTTTTATATCTTGTCCGCGTGTTTAATAAATTATTTGTTAAAGACATTGTATGTGTGTATTAAATACCTATAAAATATTTTCAAAAGATTAACATATTTTTTTGCTGGATGTTATAGACTTTTGCCTGGGTGGAAAAAATTGATATCTTGTAATGGTTTAAAGACTGCTGCTAATTATGTATGGTTCAGTGCATGGACCAACGCGTTGAATGTATACAAAGAGAAATCTGATTATGAAATGTTGAAATTTAGCAGTTTTTGTTCTGATCATCCGCGAATTATATATCCTCATCTATTGTTTATTCTAACGTCATTTCAAACGATGATCATGAAATATGATAAAAATATCGATTTTGGAACACTAACACAGGAAAAGCATGTTTATGCTTTAACTGCTGATATTTATCTTCCTATTTTTGCCATGCATGCTAAGAATCCTATATTGCTTAAAAATATATTGAACTTACATAACTTTGAAAGTATGAAAAACAGGTAATAACATTTTTTTTATAAACATTTCATGCTTCTAATTGTGAAAGATTATTATGTATATATTAATTACAAATTTATACATATATACTGTTTTTTTTCATAGCCGAATCAATACGATTGCAACATTAATTGTCATTATTAATAATGTGTATTCTAAGAATGAACTGGACATGGTAAATCTTATAAATCTAAATTCAATACTCATTTATATAATTTTACTAATAACAGAAAATTATTACGCATGTTTTTTATAATCGATTAATTACAAAATTATTTTTCGATAATATATGTTAATAATCTATTTTAGATAACAGAATTTGCTAAGGATATGCCACAATTAGTTTCGGAACGTATTGAACGCAAGATAAAATCGCGTTTGCTTGAGATCCAGAGTCAAATGAAATTTTATCAATCTATGATAAAACTCCCCCCATCGCGCTTAATTACGTCAACTACAACACCGTCAACTACAACATCGTCAACTACAGCATATCAATCTACAAGACGTCGAACTAGAATACGTCTAACTGATATTTTAAAGCGCAAATCATTTACATATCCTAAATTATCAGGGCCTTGGAGTCCTCCTTATCTGTGAATGTTAATAATGCATATTCTTAGAAGACCAACTTATTAAGGTAAATTTATTGAAGTAAATGTTATAAACTTCAAAAAACTCCGTACCTAATTTTGAAATTTTTATTATATTTATTTATATATACGTATTTTATATTTTATTAACGAACGCGTATCTATCTCTCTCTCTCTTTCACATGTATCCACATAATCATGCCAATAATTTAAAAATTTTTCACATTTGTCTTTTATTATGATTAATTATGAAAATACTGATTGCTAACAAATATCAAAATGAAATTATTTTGAGATAAATAAATTTGCAGAAAATAAAAAGCAATATCCATATTCGAACGTTGAACGTAAGTTAACAATACGATAATCTGACAATAAATTCAACAGTTAGATGAAATTGCTTCAAAGTTTAGACGAAGAGATCAACATTATGTCCATTAATTGCACAAGGATTAACTACAAAACATTCCCAACAACAACTAAAACTGCAGAGCACCTATCATTTATAAAGCTAATTACGTAGTCATAATATCTAATGATATAAACATTTCGAATATGTTTTCATATATGTATTAACTAATTATTTATTATTTACATATTGTTCTCAATTGCTTTCTAAATTATTTCTAATTATATCGTAAATATCTTTAATATTAACTTTAACATTTGATTCTTATACATATTATTCAGTTTTAATTATATAAACATGGATTATACATTTACGTATAATGTTACATATATATGTACATATAAATATACATATACACATACAATATATATATACATATAATGTTATATATACATATATATATATATATATATATATAAAATTATATCTCAGAATAAAATTAAAATAACAAAAAACTTAAAAGTGTCGTTTAGAAACATGTATATTACTGTCTGTATTGCAGGATTCGATTTCTTACAATAGTTGCATAAAAAAACTAGCTGCATTTTCAAATATTATTTCTATTATACCATATCATAGCTATAACATTTATTATTCTATTGTTCTCGCTCGATTTAGTATTTAGTGAAATACCATATGTAAATGCGATTGTTTCTTCATTGGTAAATTTCATATAACGTATGTAATCGTATGATGACTTTGCACATTTTTGATTCGTAAAATCAACTAAACATTCCAAATAAAATTTCTATTGCAATATACAAATGTGAATTATTTCATTAACCATTTATATAACCTAGTAGGAGAAATAGCTTGATAGAAGTAGCTTAGAGAGAATATATGTACGTATTTTCATTTTCTATTTCAAATACTATCTCTGAGTATGAGAAAGACTTAAGGTATTGCTAGTTTCACAAATGTCCCTGCATAAAATTTATGGGTCAAGTTATTTATAGCATAATGATCGTATAAGATCGAGAAGGTATACATATACATGTAATGCGCGGGGTATAATACACTGTATCATACGCGCGTCTACTCGCCCTCGCGGAAGGGATCTAGGCTGAACAAACCGTGATGAGAATGTTGTCCGAGAGAAGCGTAAAGGCAGAGAGGGGTCGCGAGCGAACGGAGGGTTTACGATGTAACTGGAAGGATGAAAAGCATGTACGGGAATCCCATGAAGCAGCAGGTATAAGGCCGAGATAAACTCGCGGACGTGTCGGGGTCGCACCATTAAAGCACGTTCACAACGAGTCTACGCGCACGTATATCGTCTAGCCTCATTTATGCAGATGCATTCCTAGCATACCTGTGCACGCCACGAGAAGAAAAATAAAAAAACCAGTGTGCCGTCGTTTGCATAAATGGGACAAACGCCCAAGCAATTCGTAAACATAACTTACCCTTGGGCGCAATATCGTTGGAAAGAAGGATTCACATAGTTTATACATTAATTATTTTTCGATAGTTTTAGGCAATAATAACGCAGTTTTTGAGGAAATATAATTTTACTTATAGATTTAGAGCGAATAATACTTGGCCTATTTCACAATTTGGTTCTAGATAATAATTTCATTAATCAAATTCGTTCGAAATTTTATAGATATAATACATACCGTTAGCTCATAATTATTCCGCGATTTTGCATCAATATATCACATATGCAACAAAATACCGTTATAAAAAAACATAGAAAAAAATAAAAAAAATGCTTAAAAAACATTTTAAACTGAAATCTCATGACTTATTTCATACGCATATCATAAAATGTACAATTTTAATGAATGTAATTTATCAGAAATATCACCAAATTTTTCAAATGGATGTATCCGAATAGCTGTATTTATTTTTCCTATAGTCGCTTAATTGACATTTCTCAAATAAAATAAATAAATATCGATACACTTGTCGATAACATCTATCTCCAGGTTAATCGAGCCATTTTAAATTTATTGCGAATCTACATTGAACTACAAATATTTGCTTAATTTCGACACCGCTCGATTTTATGTCATGCATTATAGCAGAACGACGAGATATTCGACAAGCATATTGATGAAAATGAGATATTTCGCGTGCCAATATTTTTACATACTTTAACAAATTTCGTCAATGCAAAATACAATATTAATATTGGATAATTTCACGAAGCATTGCAGAACGTGTAACACAATTAAAATATTTATACTTATTCGTCCGAAATATCGAACTGTATATAAAGCGGGTGAATAAATAAGTGATATGTAATATAATACGCAATATGTTGGTAAACATCGCATGGAATTAAATTCGCAATAATGCATGACGTATACTGATGTATCTTATATTTGCCGCAAAATAGTTTTACTCATTAAAATTTCATAGTAGTATAATTTACTTAATTATTTATAAGAACATACGCGAATAGCAATTGCTATTTTCAATTATAATAAGTCACAATATATCTCATGCGGTTTTATAATAAATGTTTCAAATATCCGAAATGTACAGCACACATCCTGCAAAAATTCTTGCAAACAATAAAAATATTGTATACATTACATATTGTTATTAACGTATCATTTACTTGTAATTGCAGTTTTTTAAATCTGCAACAGTAATACACATTCCATAACAAATAAAAAATTAAAGCTATCAATAATAAAAAAAATCTCTTCGATATTCATGAAATAACACATGCTCACGTAATAAATAAAATAATTATGAAATAAATAATTATTAACGCCGAAATAACAGTCCTCGAATAAAATTATTATGACACAACATTCGCGATATACGATTTTGAAAACGCTCGTATAAATTGTGGGAGTCATATTTATAGTCAAATGTAAAATAAATTTTTCGACGAGCATCATTGTTTATCGTTTAATTTAACATCGTTGACGCGCGTACGTGACTTGGTGGATCTGCAAAACAAAGTGTCCAGTTACACACGCTGTCCTGCATCGAGTGTTATAGATTCTCATAACAAATTAAACATACCGATTGTAACAAAAGATAACTTAACGACGCGTTTAATATCATTTTTATAATTATGTCGATAGTTATTAACTCTGTTCAAATGACGGAGACACGCGACAGATAGCGTTCACACGAGTCATAAATTGACATAAGTCGCATCGTGAAACTTTCTCTCGTTAAAATAGACGATAATATAAAACAACGAATAAAGCAGGGTCGCTTGCATGTATTTTCGTGCTCGTCAATCTGTTTGATCGCATTATCATCATCGCGCGGGTAACAAAAGAAAGTGCGCGAGTTATAAAGTTCGAACTTTTGCCATTTATTACGTACGCAAGAGGATATCAAAATCGTAATAAAACGAGATTATACGACGCGGTATCTGTTCGCGCGGATTTAATCTCGAGAGTCATAGAGAAGGATCTATATCGCACCTATAAACTGAGGCGTATCGAAATCACGCAAACGATCGATGTCGGTGTGGAAGATTCGCCGAGATGAAATAATCAAATGGGTTTGCCGCTTCATTTAATTCGGCATCATTCGAAGGAGTAGCCGCGTACATCATCGTACGGTTGTAGGCACGGGCTGTCGGCCATTGTAATTTCACGGGCACGCTAACGCGCGCGATCGCACAGGCGTGTGCACCGGCCTGTGCAAGCAAGAGCACCCGACAAGGGTGATAACCCCTCTGCGAGTAATCGATAACGTACGGGCGCGCGCGCGCGCGAACGAGAACAAGCGAGAGCATTTCTTTACCGTTAATCAAAGATTGCTATAATAGAAGAAACGGAAATTTCTATAGTTTGAACCTACTTCTTCTTTGTATATTATATTCACGGATTTATGAATACTGTAATATGTAAATTCATTTGAAATAAATACAATTATATTCTACGTTTTCATTATAGGACCCGCTATATGGCGCATGTTGAATGGTACACTTCCCCGTAATTCAATGTTGATGGGTTTAAACACATACTTTAATACTCGGTAAGAGATATTGTAATAAAATAACTTCATATCCCATAGTATATATACAAGAAAAAGAATACGTAATATAGAAATAGTAATACATAATGCACTTACAGAAGTGATGCTATTGATAAATTGTGCCAAATAATGAAAAAAAATATTATGCATTCTATATATAATTCTGTTCCTTAATTTAATTATCTACATATTCTTTTATTATTATGTTACAGTATTGAAATTGTCATTTTTAATAATTTGAAATTCATAATAGAATATTTCATTTAAATATTTCTGTATATATATATTTTATATTAACTTGTAGTGAAAAAAACTACAAAAGATATATGTTTTCAAGTAAAATATCAAGTAAAACATAAGTTTAAATAATAAAAAATTAACAGAATGTCCAAAAATTAAATCTAGCAAGTTTAGCATTACTACATTTATTATGGCTGTCAAAATTTTATTTTAGATTGCCATAGTTGTTAAAACAAATAATTATTTTAATTTTCCAATGCAAATCAATGATGTATAATGTGAATTGCCGCAATGTTAAATTTTACAGATTTCCTAACTTTAATTCGCCAACTCCCGATGATCTATGGAGTTTTATACAGACTGGTATAGACGATAAATTAAAAAATAAACTGTATAATCTAAGCATAAAACAGATAATGGATATTTGGATTACTCAAACGTATTGCCCTGTGGTAAACGTGAAACGAGATTATTCTGATAATCTTGTAAAAATATCGAAAGAGATTAATGACAAATTAGATCGGAAACCATATTTTATACCTGTGAGCTATGTTAAGGAAACGAACATCAATTTTGTCAATATCTCGCTACAAAGTTTCAATTGTTTAACGCAGTCGAATCCGGAAATGAAAATCAACTATGATAGTAAAGATAAATGGTTCATGGCCAACATATTACAAACTGGTAAATATTAAATAATAAAGTTAATATCTCTCTATCCTCTTATTATATAAAAAATCTGGTTTTATTACATATTTTTATTCCTACATTTTTTTACAAAAATTGTGAAACTATTTTCTACATATAATAAACATAATTATATTTTTCTAAAATATTCTATAATATTACCTTTAAATTTTAAATTAAACGTTCTTTGCATATATAAAAATATTAATTATGTAACTAAAATCTTAGTTTAAGCTTATACAATTCTGTACGCTTTAATATTTCGAAGATTTATTTTTTAATTTGATTATTGATGGAAAATGTTTACGTAATTAATAATATACAAGAAACTTGAAAAATATATATACTACCAATTTCTAGTACAGTCTGCATGCGTACTTAAAACAGAGGAAAATTAGATACATAAAATTCGAAATATTTCTGATGTCTGATTATTCCGATACGTTAAAAAAATAATCGATAAAATTTATCTATTAAATAATAGGATACTATCGCGTCAATTATGACACCGAAAATTGGCGAATGATCGCGCGTTATTTAAAATCCAAAAAATACGAGAATATACATGTTATCAATCGAGCGCAAATCATCGATGATGCGTTCCATCTTGCGATGGAAAAGAAACTTGATTTCTCCATATTTTGGGAACTCGCGAGCTACTTAAAGCAAGAGAAGGATTATGTAGCATGGTATCCTATGATTAAAGTTTTTGAACGTATATCCAGTGTCTTTGCAATTACAACAACTCATGATGAACATCTCAAGGTAGAGAAACTTATTGCCAATAATAAGACATATCAATAAAATTATGTTAGATATTAAGTCAATACATATAGAGTAACGATCTCATAATTCTGACATAATATCTTAGAAATTAAAAGATGTAGTTAAAAAAAATTTTATATGTTAATTATATGCTAATGATTTAATTATGCTTATCTTTCTTCAAGTTTTTAAAGTATTACTTATAGCATCATTACCATCATTCTTATTCAGTAAGAGAGATTACACTGTCTGTTATAGAAAAAGTAACTTATTTATATTTGTCGGTAATGCGTATAATAAATTCCATAGTAATTGGTAATTTTTATCGTTTTCGGAATCTATGTGATAGAAATTCCAAACAAGCAAACATATATAAAGAGTATAATTTTTTTTTTTTAATCTCAATATAATTTAAAGATCCTTTTCTTTAATAACCTTCTTACAATCTTGGATGACTTTTCTTTTAAACCGGATCATGTATTGTATAATATTGTACGCTTCTGTTTTACGTTTTCTTCTTATAATTTTCTGTAACTTAAAAATGCATTTAAGTCATTACTGTAGCAAAGTATCATGGCGGAATTTTGAATTTGCATAAAATTATAATTAAATTATTAAAATTAGATATTTATACTTACAGCACATTTCTTTACTTCAGAAAAGATTTTCTTTGTAATATTTATTGCAAACGTTTTTTTTTCAGTTGAGAAATATATAAATCCAAGATTATAAAATTAATTATAATGTATTATATCAATATTTACTTTATATCAGTATCAAAATCATATCGCTTGTGTTATATTTTTCTATGTAAAGAAATTTTTACTAATTTCATTTGTGTTTTATTGTATATCTATACATTATTATAGCGTAATAGAAACGGAAATTTTAACGATTCGTTACTTTTTGTATAACGATAACAAGTTATTAATAAGTAACAAATTACTTTTTAATATCGGTAATGAGTAACAGTAACGAGTTGAATTACATAGTAATAAACATATACAAATTTGTTTTGTTACATAATATTTGTGACAAATATTAAAAATTTAAAAATATTTTACCAAAACTGTAAGTTATAGTTATGAGACATTGTAAAATATGATTTTTCTTGATAACTCTTTCTCTCGCTTTAAATCCCGTTTATTTTATAACATCTTTGTACAAAATTCAACTTTTCCGTAATTTTTATATGGCATGATCTATTATTGAAAATATAATGACGTAAGATATTAACATATTAAGAGTATATGTATTTAAACCATATAAAACAAACAGATTTAGTCAAAAAATTTAGTAATTTAAGGCCTGTTTTGATCACTTACTAATTAAAATACGCGCCGGAAATAAAATTGTTTCAGTAAATAAGAATGTTATTATTTTTTCATTTATACATATATTATATTTGTCTTTGTGTAAGTAATATGAACAATACATGTAATAAATAGAAAAATATATTTTTTACCAAATTATAGGAAATAAAAATAAAAATAGGAAGCTTATTTGAAAAGGCAGAGAACGATATGTACAATCAAACAGAAGCTAACATAACCAACAATGTTCTTAATAAATATTTAAAGCAAGAACTCACAAAATGGGGATGTCTTATCAATAATCCCTTGTGTATGCAGATGGCCAAAGAACAATTTGAATGGCATCTATCAGATCCTGAAACTAGGAAGTATGATCTATTTAATCATTGTTTTTATATCTTGTCCGCGTGTTTAATAAATTATTTGTTAATGACATTGTATGTGTGTACTAAATATCTATAAAATATTTTCAAAGGATTAAAATATTTATTTGCTGGATGTTATAGACTTTTACCTGGGTGGAAGAAATTGATATCTTGTAATGGTTTAAAGACTGCTAACTATAGTGTATGGTTCAGTGCATGGACCAACGCGTTGAATGTATACAAAGAGAAATCTGATTATGAAATGTTGAAATTTAGCAGTTCTTGCTCTGATCATCCGCGAAAGTATTTTCATCTATTATTTATTCAAAGGTCATCTCAAACGATGATCACCGATTTTGAAACATCAACACGGAAAAAAGAGCACTCCTATGCTTTAATTGCAGATATTTATCTTTCTATGCTTGCCATGCAAGCAAAGAATCCTACACTGCTTAAAGATATATTGGATTTACCTAACTTAAATAGTATAAAAAACAGGTAATAATATATATTTTTATAAATATTTATTGCTTATAATTGTGAAAGTTTATTATGTATATGTTACAATTATACAAATTTATACATATATGTTTTGTTCTCATAGCCGAATCAGTACGATTGCAACATTAATTGTCATTATTAATAATGTGTATTCCAAGAATGAACTGGACATGGTAAATCTTATAAATCTAAACTCAATACTCATTTATGTAATTTTACTAATAATAGAAATTTATTACGTCTTTTTAGAATCGATTAATTACAAAATTATTTTTCGATAATAAATATTAATAATCTATTTTAGATAACAGAATTTGCTCAGGATATGCCACAATTAGTTTCGAAATGTATTGAATGCAAGATAAAATCGCGTTTGCTTGAGATCCAGAGTCAGATAAAATTTTATCAAACTATGATAAAACTCCCCCCATCGCGCTTGATTACGTCAACTACAACATCGTCAACTACAACACGTCCAACTACGCCTCCAACTATAATTCTAAGGAATGAATCAATTAATAATCCTAGATTAAGATTCATGGGATAAAACTTCTTAATTATCTTTAAACGTTAATAATGCATATTCTCAGGATACCAATTTATTAAGGTAAATTTATTGTGGTAAATTTTATGAAAATCAAAAAACTCCATATTTAATTTTGAAGTTTTTATTATGATAATTATTTTCCATCTGTGTAACTATATATATACGCATTTTATATTTTATTAATGTACGCGTATCTCTTTCTTTCTGTCACGTCTATTAAGCTGACACAGCCACTTTAGCACAAGCAAATAAAACTTATATAGAAATTTAGTGTTCTTTTGTTGCTAATTTGTTGTTCAATTCCCGATTTTGTTGCTCCAGCCAATTCGGAGAAAATAGTGGCTGTGCTAACTTAAGGTTAAAGTTAGCACAGTCATTTAAAAAAAAATTTAAAAATATAAAAACACGACATATTTTTTTAGTGCTAATTTGTTGCTAATTACCTGCTCTATTCCCAATTTTGTTGCTCTATTTTTAAACTGCGAAAACCACCCCCAAAGCTATCTTTCGCTAACAAAACATTCTGAAATTGCAAATTAATCAGATATTTCGATTGATTACCTTTCTTTGATTTTGTTGCTTGCGATTTGCAATGAATCCGATTTTGTTGCTCCACCCTTAACCCTTGAAAACGACCTCTGGCTACCCTAGACTAGCACAACACTTTAAAACTGTAAATTAATCAGATATTCCGGTTGATTACGTCTCCTTGATTTTGTTGCTCGCGATTTGCAATGTATCCGATTTTGTTGCTGCACCCTTAATTCTTGAAAACCACCTCTGACTACCGTAGACTAGCACAACACCTTGAAACTGTAAATTAGTCAGATATTCCGGTTGATGACGTTTCTTTGATTTTGTTGCTTGCGATTTGGAATGAATCCGATTTTGTTGCTCTACCCTTGAAAATCACCCCTAGCTATCCTACATCAGCATAACACCTTAAAACTGTAAATTAATCGGATTATTCGAATAATTACATTTCTCTGGTTTTAAAGTTTACATTTTTATCACATATTTGTTTATAACAATTTTTATAACAATTTTTTAATTTTATTGTATAATTAATATTTTTGTTCTTTGTAGTTTAAGTATAAAATGCATTTTATATCTTAAAAAAATATTTATGTACTTTTTCAAAATTTATCATATGTAATATATTTTTGTGAAGCAACAAAATCGGATTCATTGCAAATCGGGAGCAACAAAATCAAGGAGACGTAATTAACCGGAATATCTGATTAATTTAAAGTTTTAAGGTGTTGTGCTAGTCTAGGGTAGTCAGAGGTGGTTTTTAAGAGTTAAGGATGGAGCAACAAAATCGGATTTATTGCAAATCGCGAGCAACAAAATCAAAGAAACGTGATCAATCGAAATATCTGATTAATTTACAATTTTAAGGTGTTGTGCTAGTGTAGGGCAGTCAGGGGTGATTTTCAAAGGTTAAGGGTGGAGCAACAAAATCGGATTCATTGCAAATCGCGAGCAACTAAATCAAAGAAACGTAATCAACCGAAATATCTGATTAATTTACAGTTTCAAGGTATTGTGCTAGTCTAGGGTAGTCAGAGGTGGTTTTCAAGGGTTAAGGGTGGAGCAATACAATCGGATTTATTGCAAATCGCGAGCAACAAAATCAAAGAAACGTAATCAATCGAAATATCTGATTAATTTGCAATTTCAGAATGTTTTGTTAGTGAGAGGTAGCTTTTGGAATGGTTTCCGCAGTTTAAAAATAAAGCAAAAAAATTGGGACTAGAGCAACTAATTAGCAACAAATTAGCACTAAAAAATATGTGTTTTTATATTTTTTAATTTTTTTTTAATGGCTGTGCTAACTTTAACCATAAGTTAGCACAGCCACTATTTTCTCCAAATCGGCTGGAGCAACAAAATCGGGAATTGCACAACAAATTAGCAACAAAAGAGCACTGAATTTCTATATAAGTTTTATTCGATTGTGCTAAAGTGGCTGTGTCAGCTTGATAGACATCTTTCTCTCTCACTTGTATCCACATAATTATGCTAATAATTTAAAAATTTATCACATTTGCCTTTTATTATGATTAATTACAAAATTACTGATTGATAACAAATATCAAAAAAAAATTTTTTTTAGATAAATAAATTTGCAAAAAATAATAAGCAATATCCATATTCCAACGTTGAACGTAAGTTAACAATACGTTAATCTGACAATAAATTCAACAGTTAGATGAAATTTCTTCAAAGTTTAGATTAGGTTTAGTCGAAGAGATCAACATCATGTCCATTATTTGCACAAGGATTAACTACAAAACATTCCCAACAACATCTAAAACTGCAGAGCACCTATCATTTATAAAGCTAATTACGTAGTCATAATATCTAATGATATAAACATTTCGAATATTTTTTCATATATGTATTAACTAATTATTTATTATTTACATATTGTTCTCAATTACTTTCTAAATTATTTCTAATTATATCGTAAATATCTTTAATATTAACTTTAACATTTGATTCTTATACATATTATTCAGTTTTAATTATATAAACATGGATTATACATTTACGTAATGTTTATACATACATATACATATACATATATATACATGTAGGTACACAAATATATACATAAGTATATAATATATAAAATTATGTATATTGTTTATATATAAAGAACTCTCTATATTAAAATTTAGAATAATATGTTATGAATATGTTAATTAAGTATTAATATAAAATTTAATATTATATAGGATATAGAATATTGTATAGGATAACGAATATTATAATAACGATATTAAATGGAATAATAATTTTTTAATGCCAAAAATATATATTTTTCTATGTTTCTCTTGTATCGTTTAAATAATTCTTTTATATGTTCAAAAATAAAGTCAATGGTAATAAAAATTTTAAAAATTTTAAAATATAGATTATAATAGAGAAATAATTAGTCTTGTTTTTGTGAAAAGAAGTGATTTCTTATTGATCTGTATTATTAAACAATACAATTGAATTTTGAATAAAATTTAAATTTTCTTTATTTTAAAATTTTCATTCAAAGACAAGTGTGTTTTATTTCAAGTAAGATCTTTTTTTCATTGTTTTCTCATTTGTCACATTAAATTTTATAATCATATAGGGGAAAATAGGGTAAAACCGAATAGGCAGATCAAACCGGGTATCTCTGTTTCTTTTTGATATGTGCTAACTTATCTTTGGCTAACTCATGTTATTAGTTGTAGATTGATGCCAACATTATTTTGAAATGAACCGTGCCCATATGCACACGTTTTTTCTTTTTTAAGAGAAGTTCAAAATTTTTGGGCCAAGAAAGATCGATATTGGGACAACAATCGAGTCGTTATAAACTTCTTCTACACAGAGCATCTGCTTCGATAAATGCAGCATTGCATTCTGTACATATTAGAAAGTATATCTACACTAGTTTTGATCGTCACTTTGTACGTCGGAATATACAACCGCCCTATTTGTTACTTTTTTTGTGTTGGGGCACAAAACCGAGTACCTATACATTTCATCCAATGAAAAGAGGAAGAACTATTATTCTGACTTCCCTACAAAAAGCAGTTAGAAACGAAAACTACCACCCAGAAAAAGAAATCACCAAAAAAAAATTTTTTTGAGACCCCCAAAAGTTAAATAAGAAAGTCCTGCAACAACGTCGAATAAGAGAATATCTTTATTTGTGATTTTGGTCAATAGAATACATCTTTATATATCTTTATATATCTCGTAAAATACTTAGTTTTTGATAATCTCTGTATACGATGACATCCTGAATATAATTATATGTATAAAAAAAATACACTAAAAATATAAAAAATCTGAACCGTTGTACTTATTTTATACAAAATCTAACAAATAAAGGCAAAAAAATAATTCTTCATAAAAATGAAAGAAAAGATGATATGACATTTTTTTCTCGCTTGTTACAGTTAAAAGACCAGTGAACAATTCTTTCCTGCTTCTTAATATCCCCTCTCGAATGCGACTACACGTTTGTCGATCACATGTTACCACCGTGTTCTCGCCAACACATCACAGGTTAATTAATATTATAAGATTAATCACCGATTGACTGCGAATTCGAACGACAGATGCAATTATTTATTAATATATAACGAGTGGATTTCTTACAAAAGATTTTTATACGGAATATGTTTCTCATTAAGGGTCCACTTAATAGCATTCTTGTATAAAATAGTGTCGCCAGATGACAGATAGAACATCATATTTTGTATAAATAAATTCACATAATATATTTAACCCTTTCCGGCATCAATTGACAGTTCCTTGAGAATTGCTTCTTATGTTCCTGCATTCTCGAATGAATGATAAAACGTCGAAATGTACGTCAAATATAAGAGCCTCTTATTTTCAAAGTGATGATTATAAAAAATTTTTCGAAGACGTTCAAAGATTTCTTTAGACTCGCATACCGCTTTTGAAATAAGTGACTTGTATATAAAAATGAGCGTGCTATTCGTTAAGTAGCAAGTGTAAACAGTCATGCAACCAGTTACTATACTTGAGTATAATTTAAAGAATTGTTATCATAGGATTATAAAATATACTGGAAAGGGTTAATTTTCAGCATCCGCTGTTCATTATGACTGAATAGCTATACAATTAAGAGAGTTCACCGAAAATGTTCATGTAGAGCATCAAAGACTCCGATAGAAAAGTATTTTTAATTTTCGATTCCAATTCATAACTGTTTGCGCACATTCGGCAACATTGCGAGAAATGTGTCTTCAATTATACTATACTTGTATGTAACGCGCAATATTATACTACGTTCTTTGTATCATGAAAGGCAGTATAAATGATATTCATTCAAGCATCACTATCCGACAATCTTTCTAAGACTTATTTTATTATAGTTATAATTTTTTAATACGTATATTTGCAAAAGCTCAAATAAAAATATAGACAAAAAATCTATGTAGAAATAAAAAAAAGATATATATATCATATAAAGAATATATAAGATATCTATAAAATAATGCAGGATGAGTTAAAAAAATAAGAAAATAATATTTATTTTGTTATTTAAATTTTTTTATACTTATAAAAATATAGTGGCTTTTTTCAAATATAAATCGCTCGAATTCATAACAACATTTATGTACAGCTATATACGTGTATATCATAAAAAATATAGAGAGATATTATACGCCAGTATCGCATACATATACATCACAATGATTAGAAAATTAGTTCTTATTTTATTGCACGTAGAGATAAACTTTTTTTACTATTCCTCTGATCGAGGAATAATACCCACGAATGCATTACGATCGAATATATATTCCTTTGACAAATATAAACTATAGGTTCTTGTAAAAAAATTTTTACATATGTTTGTATGTATACATACCGCGATATATTACTAAGCTCTTCCTAGTAGTTAACTTTATAAAAATAATGTCGGCGATATTTTGTCAGATATATACGTCGATTACTCCTAGAGCACGTATATACAACCTTTGATTTTACTCGCTACCGATTATACCAGTGTTATTTATTGTTAAATTACATATATTATAATTAGGCCCATGGCGAATGGTATTCGCAGCGTACGTTCCTTGAGCGCATGCTTATTGTGCCTTTTGGAATTAAATAATATTAAACATGTGTCTGTTTTTATTACTTGTACACAACCCCATATTTTATCTTTATATATATATAATTTTAATTTTAATTTCAGAATTGGAAATGTATGACATATATCGTGTCACACAAGATATATATATATATATATATATACTATATTTATTTAACATTATTTTTCTTTTATAAGTTTAAAATTATAAAAATATATATGCGCATTACGAGACAATTATGCCATTGTTGTGCATTTATTTCAGATTTGTTCCGTAATATAATTATTGTTCTATAATTGTTTATAAGGGATTACTGAAACATTTTATAATTTAGCTACGATTTTATAAATACAAAAGAAATATATGGAAGAGAAATAAAAAAAAGTTATAAAAAATAACTACATATTATAAAAAAATTAACATGTATATATTGTACATACATACCGTTGACAAGCCAGAAAGAAATTTTTTCCTATATTTGGCGTCGCGACGCTGCCGCGTCGCTTGATATTGTATTTTGCTTCTTTTACATGGCAACGCAAACATCTTCTGTAACATGCGGGATAGCTTCATCCAGGCTAATGAGTTTAAAAATCAAGCAGAACAGTACAGTATTAATTTAGCTATAAAGTATAACGTTAAAAGCAAAGCAATTTCTTTGACAAATTATGCCGTTAATAAAATCATGTTAAATTGAAAGAAAAGCAATGAGGTATCTATTTTTAAGCCTACGTTCCTTTTTCTATCGAAATAGTTTTCGGAATATCATCAGCAGTTAAATATATAAATGATTTTAGCAGTCCATTGTTTACGCGAGCACGTATCGCCAGCCCCAGTTTTTCTCCTAGCTTCTCTAAATCGAGATGAAGATAACATCGTATGCGCCGGCGAATAGAGGCTGCGGGAGGTCCGCCCGCTCTTTCGTAACAGGTCTTATAGTGTATTCCTACCTGTTCCGACTGTTCTCAGGAGCCCGGTCATTATAATAATTCGGCAGAGGCTCGTGTTAAACGTATCGATGGGTGTCGTCTCGTATCAACGGGCGCCTTTTTTCGATGCGCACGGTTATTACGTGATTTAGAAACAGTGAGTTGCTGTAACATTACAGTATAATCAT